TGGTCTAGGTAGCCGACTCGGTAGGTTTTGGATCAGAGCTCTTGGTCTCAAAGCATCACTCAAATCCATGTTCCCTCAGCATCAGTCATGCTTTACAGTGATCTGACCTCTCTGTCTCCATCTCCTTTTGTTATTGTTGGTTTCCCCACCATATCATCATATTGGAGTCAGTTTAAAGGCTTTGATTTTGTTTGATTAAATGAAACCAGTAGGTTGTTGGATTCCTTAATCGTCCGGAATCAGGATGTAACTTTATTTTGACTTTCCTTTCCTGCTCTGACAGATTAATACATCGGAGTTCAAGAGTGCCTCCGTTTTCAACAACATCACGTACAGCCAGACTTGAGGAGTAACAGAATACTTGGACCTGTGTTACATAATCAGGATAGGAAAAGGTATCGATGTTCCGTTAGTTACATAAATATGTAATCATCTTGCCAAATTTTGTAGAAAAGGAGGTTGTATAATCATTTTTATAATGATTAAAGAAGAAATACAGCAGTACGATCCTGACAGACTAAATGAGCCACCATTTAGAATACTACATTGATTGCTACGCTACGACTGAATGAATTTACCATCTGACCTTGTGTATTTCTATTTTGTTACAGTAAAGCAATTGCATTAATTGCTCTGTTAAAACTGGCACTGTAAAACAGTTTAAATCATCATTTGTACACTCATTATAGGGTTTTAGTGCATATGATGTTGTGTTGTCATGGCAACAAAGTTGGAAAAAAAAAAGTTTTTTTTACACTAAAAGCATTTCAACACACTCATTGTTTTGATAGGAAAAGGTATCGATGTTCCGTTAGTTACATAAATATGTAATCATCTTGCCAAATTTTGTAGAAAAGGAGGTTGTAAGCAGGTTTCCATTTTTATAACGATTAAAGAAGAAATACAGCAGTACGATCCTGACAGACTAAATGAGCCACCATTTAGAATACTACATTGATTGCTACGCTACGACTGAATGAATTTACCATCTGACCTTGTGTATTTCTATTTTGTTACAGTAAAGCAATTGCATTAATTGCTCTGTTAAAACTGGCACTGTAAAACAGTTTAAATCATCATTTGTACACTCATTATAGGGTTTTAGTGCATATGATGTTGTGTTGTCATGGCAACAAAGTT